CGGTTAGCCAAACCCCGAGAATACAGTAAACAAGCCACTATAAGGAACCAACCCCAAAGGTCAACACCTAAGAGAAACCCTGTGGTTCCAGCAAAGAACTGCCAGAGAACAGTCCGAATGGAGCTGAATGGTAGAGCACCGAGTGACCCAAACCCTCTGAAGCGCAAACCAGACAGCCACGAACTCCCGAACCGTGCTGTGAGCCCGACAGATGGATAGACCCCACCATCCCGGCCGACCTGGTGAGCACTGGTCACAAAACCCCAGCCGAGAGACAACCCGTCCGTGAACACATAGAGCGAAGGCTCGGGGAGGTGCCAAGGCATGGAACCCCGAAAACCCCAAAGAGGAAGCTGGTGACGCAGCACCAACACAAGATCTCTGGAGGACGAACCCAACGATTGCAAGAGAGGTGGAAGGGGAGTCTCCGAAGGTACCAAACAGACGCCGAAGCCAAACCTGACCCCGCGGGCAGACCAGCACGTCGAAGTTCAGACTCCTGCACGACTGCTCGAGCAACCGCTGAGCAACCCGGGACCCCCCTCATGAACAGCCGAAGGTGGGACCACAGCCGCAGCAACACTTCTGGAGGGAAAGACAAGGAGCGGCCCAAGAGCCCTAAACAAGGCCCAGCCAGGTCCAGACCTGGGACGGAAACAGATGAAATGGCCTCCAGATCACCAGGAAACTCAAACTCGGCGATCTAGAAAGAACCACACCCCTGGCGAGCAGACAAGCAGACCGACTGGGAGCCCACACCAGCCAGTCATCGAGGTAGGCCGGACACCGAATCCCAAGCAGACTCAGACAGGGCACCAAGATCCAGTAAAGATGCAAAAATACACCAAGTGCCAATTACAAAATAGGGAAGGCAACAAAAGCGGCAAGCCTGAAGCCCCACCACCAACTGGGCCAGTCTCGGAAAACTGGAGAGGAACGTGCCAAGAATTGACCTGGAGGTTCAGGGCCACCATCCAGGCACCCAGCCCCAACAGAAGCTGGACAGGAGACAACAGTCCTCTGATGAGGGCATAGAATCCAGGGCGCAGACTGAAGAAATCCAGAAGAACCGCAGATTCGACAGGCCCATGTCTGCAAAGAGCAGACGGGAACCCCAGATGAATGGGGCGGAACAACTACGTCCAACACATCCACTAAGATGACATGACGAAGCGCACGGGAAGAAGCCCACCCCGCCAGCCCTCAAAGGGGGAAGAAGCCGTCCACCGCCGCCCTCAGAGGTCGGAAGACAACCAAAAGCGACCACTAACTGCGGGACCATGCGAGAGTCAACACAGCAAGCTGCTCCCCCAGCACCCTGTCAACAGAGAAGAGAACAGAGCCCCTTCCGGAAGAAAAAGTATACATACACATATATACACATCATGCATATACACATACATATACACATACACACAAGGTATGTTACACACACGTGTGTATGCATATACACATGTGCACACACAGTGTACACATGTACATGTGTACACACGCATACACGTGAAAAAAAAATTACCAGCTGCCGACCAGTGGGCAGAGAGCACCACGCCGGCCAGGCGAAGAAGGCACAAAACTGCATCAAAAGGCCCACCTCGACAACAAATCCTCAAAGTCCCAGCACGACCACAACACGTGCCAAGACCCAAAAAGATCAGTCTGCAAGCCAGGAAGACCCCGGAACTCCAGAAGACAGAACCGGGTCACACATGAGGAAACAAAGCCCCCTGAACCCACAAAGGGGGCCCTAGAGGAAGAAATCTCTGGGAAGAAACCAAAGAACCCAAAGGAACCCGGAATCGAACCAGGGGAAGCCCAAACCACCACATTTGCCGGCGAAGATACACCACAGAAGGCAAAGCACAGCCCCCCATACAGAACCCCCAAGGAAACGGTCAAAACAGATCAAAAACCGAGGGACAAGGTGTGGGAGCAAGCATAACAGCCAGGGGACACTGAGCCCAAACCCAAGGGCCCAGAACCAAAACAGACAAAATGGAAAACCCGGTGTAAAATCAACACGCAAATGTTCCCAGAGGAACAGGAAACAGGCAGAAAACACCAGAAAAGCAAAGAAACGACAACAGGAGAATAAAACCACTGAAAAAAGGTGAAATCTCACCCAAAATGCTTGCTCACACACCCAGACGCATGTAAACAAACCGCAACGCCGCCCTGGTGGCCACGCCGGGAAACCAGCAGAAGAAATTGGCCACCAGAACAGAGGGCTGTGATCGACACAAAAGATACGAAAACACGCCAGCAAAAGTGGCAAGCAAGCAGACTGGATGGGCGAAAAACTCCGCCCAAAAGCAGAAAACCCAGACAGGGGCAAACTGCCCCAGAACTGCTAGCAGGCATCCCCCACAGCCCCGAGAACCAGCAACAGAGGCGCCGGGGCAGAGCCGTCCTCCAAGCCCTCTGCCCCTAAAGAAAAGGAAGAGTCCATGGGAAAGGCAGCAAGAAAGGTCTGCTGGTAAGACCCAGAAGCCTTGGCAGGAGGAACAGGCTCGAAAACCTCTGTCCCCAACCCAAACAAGGCAGCCCCTGAAAACTGCCCGAGTCTCGGCCCCAACTAAACCCCGCCCCGACCCCGAAATCCGCAGACGGTCAGGAGCCAGGAACAGGGAGGGAAAGGGGCGAACAGCACCTAACCAAAACGGGGCGGCCTCGGGGCGTCCGAGTGGGAAACCAACCTAGCATGTTGCAGCAACCTAACCTAGCTTGCAACATGGATGCCGCCTGTACTCTGAACAGTAATAACATCAGGAGAGTACTGGAGAATAAGCAGAGAATATCTCTCGCAAGACTCCGGGTCAAGGTCAAGGGGAGCCGGTCGGCCGAGCGTGGGAGCCGGTCGGCCGAGCGGACAGCACACTGGACTTGTGAGTTCGATCCCACCGGCGAGAAACAATGGCAGTTTCTTTCACCCTATGCCCCTGTTACCTAGCAGTAAAATAGGTACCTGGGAGTAAGCTGTCACGGGCTGCTTCCTGGGGGTGGAGTGGCCCCGAAATCATCTCGAGAAGGTATCAGTGACCCAACAGGCAGCAAGACGGAGGTAAAAGTGGCAACTGTCACCCGGAGACAAGGGCACAGCAACCAACGATCCCGTACAAGACGGGTTGGAACCCAGAAGACACATTCAATGGTCCACCGAGCCCTGACAGGGGTTTCCAGAGCCCGTAGGCTGACTGCTACGAGAAGCCCAGGCAAGGTGTTGCTAACCGGTTAAGAAACCCAAAAATAACAAGAGGGTAGAGGATAGCACTGAAAACCCCTGCGACGTGTACAATCACGGGGGCCTAGCAGAGGGCCTCCAAACACTACCAGTGGAACTATAGCCACACTAGGCAGACCCCCACTAGGCAATTGAAAATAAAACAAAAGAAAAACCCCGCTAAAGTACACCGTCTCCAGAGGCAACAGGAACCGATCGCCACTTAGGTGGCAGGCTGTGCAACACCTTGACGCCCTAACCAACACAATACCAGTCCCTACCCAGGGCCAAACAAGGGCCCCAAGCCCCAGCTGGCCCCAAGGGCGAGGCAAATGCCGAGCAGCAAGAACCTCTACGGGAATGGTTCCCGAACGCCCCAGGGAAGATAACCCTGTCACGCAAGGGCAGTACTCACAGGGCGCTTAGGGAAAGAAGCCCCTAAGTGCACGCAGCCCTGGCACTGATGAGGTACTCCTGGCCACCGCTCAACACAACACACGGCAGTGAAGACCGCACAAGGCAAACACCGCCTAGGAAACTGAGGCCAGCGAAGTGTCTATCCCGGTTGACATTAGCTTACGAACTGAAGCTAGGCAGCCGGCGCGGTAGGTCCGGGGCTCCCCCCCTCCTCTTCTCGGGCACGGGGTGGGCTGTGCGGACGATCGGCGCGGCAGTAAAGTGTGATGTTTGCTTGTTTGCTTATTTCTTTGGGATTGTAGGGAGTTTCTACATGTGTTCGTTTTTTTTGTTTTAGTTTTTTACCATGTGGGGTTTGTTTTGTTATGCCTACCTTTCTGGGTGCCTGACCCCAGTCGATGACAGATAAGGAAACCCCCAACCACAAGGAGGATTTCCAGGGCCATTGCTCCCTGAAACCTCTCTGAAGGAGCCAGGTTCTGGCACTGGTCCCTGGTAGGTCTGAACTCCTTAGCTAATGTCCCGGTGTTTATAACATACATTAGCCTGATAAGCTCCAGGGAGCCTCCGGGGCTCCCCACAGAAAACCAGCTTTGAATGAAACGTCATTTTCTGGCCGAGTCCTGGAGGCTCCCTGACACCCTCCCTCTTTCCGGTCGGCAGTTTTCATCATTCTACAAACTGAGGGGGTGGAGTGGCTGGCTTGCCTGAGCGGACTTTCCCTCTTTCCCTGTAGAGGGAGGAAAGGGGGGGCGGAGCTAATGAGTGCGAGTGCTAGTTGGATGACGATTTGCCTGTTTCATTTTTCTTTGGGGGGAGGGAGTTCTTTGGCTCTGTTTGGATGTAGGTTGCAGTTTTAACCAGTTAGAGGTTTTGTTTCACTTACCTCTCTGGTGGTATTCCCGGTCGATGGTAGACATGACAAACTATAAATGTAAAGTGCTCATATAGCCATGGCTCCCTGTGCCTTTCTAAGGCTACCAGGTTCTGGCTCGTGGTGCCCGGTAGGCACTAGAACTCCCGGGACTGATGATATCTAATATGGCACATGTCAGTTTGGATAGCTTCAGGGAGCCTCCGAGGCTCGCCCAGAAAATGGCATTTCATTACATTTTGTGCAGGTTTTATTTGTAGACAATGTTTTCCTGTAAGAGCTTTATTAAAGCCCTTACTGGCAAAATGTTATCCACAGTCCTACTCTGAACTTAGTGATTCTTTACATGTTTGAAGGCTTAAATGAGGGTGCCATAGATGTCCAACTTTTGACCAATCACATTTTGAATGTACAGTATTTTATAGTTTGAAGTGATTAAATTATTTGTTGCATTAGGCCTTGAAATTTCATTACTTAACAATCTCTCTACAGGAGCCTATTGTGTCCATGGAATTGCTGGCAGGTGGAGGTGGTCTGCTGTCAAAGACCTCTTGTGGTCGCTGGTGGCACGGTGCTAGTGAGAGGCATTATTCGCTTCGTCTTCCTGTGGGCCAGGTTGTTGCCTCATCTGGGCCAGAGATGGGACAGGTAAAATTTCTTTTTAAAAGTAGACTTGTAGTTTTATATTTTGTATATTTTTGGGTCAGCTGATAGTATATATGCCCAATAATTAAACTGGAAAAGTTATTTTTTTTTAAAGAGATAGTTTATCATATCATCCTGCCCTGGAAGTGAACCAGTAAGGCTAGTATGTTTTTGTGTAGACTGGCATTCATCTTCCAAATACAAATGAAATGGGAATAATAATAATACTCTAATCTTAGAGCCGTTGTGGATTGTTTATGTAATAAGACAATATTATTGTTCACACAGACCAATCTGTCACATATTGCTTTTCTTACTATATTTAAAATAAAAATTGGATAATATTGCTCTCAAAACATGGTTACATATGTCTCAACAATGAGGTACTATTTGACCTTTGCACTGTGGAAATCAATAACAGTCGTCTCAAGAAAAATGGCAATGTCTAGGTATGAATGACTTTTGTCCATTTCCATAAAATTTTTTTTTTAATCCTATAATGTTTGATCAGATCCTCTGCCCTGCTGAACTGTTTCTTTGGTCAGTGCAGTCTGCCATATGTAGGAAACAGAATCATTTGCCAATTTATTAAATGGAAGATAGTCTTTTCTGAGGTGAGCCCTTTTGGCTCCTGGGAGCTATCTGGGCTGATGTTAATGTATTAGACCCCTGGCATCAGTCAAAGCGAATAGAGTTCTTAGGCCTACCAGGGACCAAGAGCCAGAACAATGCCCCTCCTCAGAGAAGCGCGAGGAGCAATGGCCTATAGAACCCCCCCTGTGTGGTTGTAAGCATTCTATGTTTGCCATCGACCGGGTCAGGCACCCAGAAAGGTAAGCGCCCCAAACAAACCCCTATTCTGGTTAAAATATTGCTACTGAAAGCCAAACTAGTGGACAGAACTCCCCAAAGGAAAATGAGCAAACGAGCATGACGTCGCCGCGCTGCTATCTACGCAACCCCCCCTCCCTGTGATGGGGAAGGGGGAGCCTCAGACCTTCGTGCCAGCTCTCCACCCTGCAATTCTGTGGCTGATGTGAGGCTGGCAAGGTCGTGCGACTCTGGCCCCAGATTTCCAATCCTGTGCCTTGTGGTGTGGTGCTGTCTTCGGTGGTACACGAGCTAGGAGTATATTCACAAGTACTTGGGCTGCATGCGCCTAGGATCACCCTCTCTAGGTGCCCAGTAACTACTGCCCTTGGGGGCATCCTCCACAGGTCACCTTGGGGGCTACCTCCACAAGGTCTTTTACTGTTTGGTGATTGGCCACCCTCTAAGTCAGCTGGGGTGTTTCCTTCATCCCTGTTTGCCTGTGGGTAGGGGCTAGTATTCACTACTGCTTGGGGCACGGGGTGTACTGTGTAGCTAGTTATCACCTCTCATAGCGGCCGGCTCTGTTCTGCCTGAGTACGTTGTCCTTTTGCAGGGTTTTTCTTTTCTTTTTGTTTTCTTGTCTGGTGGGGGGTCTGCCCCTTAGTTTTGGTCTCAACCAGTTGTATCATGGTGGTGCCCTGCTAGAACCCCGTGAGTGTACACATCCTGGAGGGGGGAGGGGGACAGCTTTAGTAGTTCTGTTGGTAATTTTGAATGGCGGTTAGCAGTCCCCCTGCCTGGGCTTCCCTTAGCATGAGTTTCGTGTAATGGCCATCGGAAACCCTGCAGGGGCGCTTGGGTCTGTCATGAGCTTTTCCCGTCTGCTCTTTGCAGTCATGAGCTTTTCCAGTCTGCAGTTCTTCTGGACTACTTCCGTCTGCGCCCTGGATCCTCTGCCCTGCTCGGAGGACTGTTGTCTCCTGTTCGGATTCTGTTAGGGCCGGGTGCATGGATGGTGGACCTGGACCTCCAGGTCACTTCTTGGCACGTTCCTCTCCAGTTTTTCTGGGGCTAGCACGGTTGGTAATTACCTATGTGTACTTACCTAAGTGTAGTTACAGGATGAGAGCTACTCTCGTGGTGTCCCGTCTTCCCAGCACTCTTTGTCATATAATGCTTTGATTATCATTGTCATATTGTCATATAATGATTGTCATATGTCATAATATGTCTTAATATGATTGTCATACAATGCTTTGGTGGTGGGGCTTCAGGTTTGCTGTTTTTATTGCATTCCCTATTTTGTGAAGGGGCACTTTGTATACTCTTTGCATCTTTACCGGATCTTAGTGCCCTGTCTGCGTCTGAGATTCGGTGTCTGGCCTACCTCGATGACTGGCTGGAGTGGGCTCCCAGTCAGTCCGCTTGTCTGCTCGCCAGGGGATGGTTCTTTCCAGATCGCTGGGTTTGGTTTCCTGGTGATCTGGAGGTTTTACCTTCTGTTTCCGTCCCGGGTTCGGACCTGGGCCTTGTTTCAGGCTCTTGGGCCCCTCATTGTCTTCCCTCCAGAAGTGTTACTGTGGCTGTGGTCCCGCCTTTGGCTGTCAGGAGGGGGTCCCGGGTTGCTCAGCGGTTGCTTGGGCGGTTGTGCGGGAGTTTGCACTTCGGCGTGCTTGTCTGCCCGCGGAGTTGGGTTTGGCTCCGGCGTCGGTTGGTTCCTACGGAGACTCCACTTCCGCCTCTTGCATTCCTTGGGTTCCTCTGGGGATCTGGTGTTGGTGCTGCATCACCAGCTTCCTCTTTGGGGTTTTCGGGGTTCCGTGCCTTGGCAGCTCCCCGAGCCTTCGCTCGATGTGTTCACGGACGGGTCGTCTCTCGGCTGGGGCTTTGTGACCAGTGCTCACCAGGTCGGCCGAGGTTGATGGAGTCTGTCTGTCCGTCGGGCTCACAGCCCGGTTCAGGTGTTCATGGCTGTCTGGTTTGCGCTTCGGAGGGTTTGGGTCACTAGGTACTCTACCATTCAGCTCTGTTTGGACTGTTCTCTGGTGGTTCTTGCCGGAACCACAGGGGGTTTGGTTAACCGTGTGGTTCGTGTCCGGGGTGTGTCCTGCGTCCTGGTGGACAGCTGTCTCGGTTCATTCCTCTTCGTGGGTTGGCCAGTCGTCGCCGATTCGTTTTGTTGGCTCTGTTGGGCTTATGGACTCCTGGCCATGGACGTCTTCGGGTCGGCGTGGTCTAGGCGTCGCCCGTTTTGTGGCGCCCTTCCCACCTGCGAGGACTTCACGGTGGAGGCTTTCGGCAGGCCTGGTAGAGGTGGGGGGTACCTGTACCTCTTCTCCCGGTCCAGCTGTTGCTTCGGGTTCTGGCTCGGTTGCAGCCCATTCCCACGAGAACAGTCCTTATGGTTCCACGGTGGCCGGCCCGGCCTTCTTTTCAGACGCTGCTTGATAGGTGTCCGTACCCGGGGCGTTTTTCCTGAGGCTTCGCCTCTTTCAGTAGGCCGAATCGGTCCTGTCCGTGACTGGTTCGGCCTTCTCTTTGGCTCTTCGCGTCTGGTATTTTGACGCAGGTATCGCCATCTCTATGGTGTTCAGGTGGCTTTGTTGACGGTGTCCCACCTGCGAGCTTCGTCTTGGAGACTGTATGACGTTTATTACGTTTTCTCGCGTTTTGTTTCCCCTCCGGCCTGCTCATGAGTCGCCTGAGCCATCCTGGTCCTTGTTCAGGGTGCCTTCTTCTCTTCCCCTCAGTTTGTGGTAGCCCCTTCGGTTTCAGTTTCCTCCTCTTTGGTACTGGTGGTAGCTTTATTGGTGTGCAGCCTTTCTCTGTCCAGCGACGGTCGAGACGGCTGCTTTCCGGAGGGGTTCTTGGGGTATTGGTTCTTGTTTGGTTTGGCCGGGGGGTGCGTCCTGTGTTGTCCAGTTGTGCTTTTTGCTGTTGCCGGCATACCGTGCCTGGGGATGCGCTGTGGTTGATCCGGTTCCTTCGTTCCCTGTTTTCAGGGCTCGGGTCTCCCGGGTCGTCCGCAGTGTTTTCCTTCTTCCTGCGGTCTGTCTTTGCGCCCGTGCTGTTCAGACGTTTGCAGCAATTGCTGCTGTGTAGGTGACGTCTCGGGCTCATTTCGGGCGCAGGGAATTGTGGGTCGCACAGGTTTTTGGCCGCCCATCCATATGTGCGTCTGTTCTTGGGCGTTCTTGTTGCCTTGGGTCGCAGGTTTGCGACCGGTTGTCTTGGCTTTGCGTTGCAGAGTTTGTGGCGGCCGCCTCCCGGGTTAGCCCTTTCTTTTCCTTCTCTTTGGGTATGAAGTTCCAGGGAGCCGTAGGGGCTCCCCACAGAAAACCAGCGTTGAATGTAATGAAACGCCATTTTCTGGGTGAGCCCCGGAGGCTCCCTGGAAACCCTCCCTCCCACCGGTCGGCGGTTTTTTCGCGTTGGTTGAAGCTTAGCTTCCGAACTGGAGCTTGGCAGCCGGCGCGGTAGGTCCGGGGCTCCCCCCTCCCCCTCCCGGGGTGGGGAGGGCTGCGCGGACGATCGGCGCGGCAGTAAAGTGTGATGTTTGCTTGTTTGCTTGTTTCCTTGGGATTGTAGGGAGTTTTCCACCTCTCTGTTCGGTTTTTGTTGTAGTTTCTTACCATGTGGGGTTTGTTTTGTTACGCCTACCTTTCTGGGTGCCTAACCCCGGTCGATGGCAGATAAGGAAAACCCCCAACCATATGGGGTTTTCCAGGGCCATTGCTCCCTGAAACCTCTCTGAAGGGGCCAGGTTCTGGCGCTGGTCCCTGGTAGGTCTGAACTCCTTAGCTAATGTCCCGGTCTAACATAACATACATTAGCCCGATAAGCTCCAGGGAGCCTCCGGGGCTCACCCAGAAAATGGCGTTTCATTACATTCAACGCTGGTTTTTTGCTCCTTTGGTCGTGGTCGTGGTCGTAGGTTTGTCCGTCTGCAGCCGTCTCCCTTTTTTCTGGCAAAGAATGTGACTGCTGCTTTCCAGAGAGGTCCTTTTGTTGTTGTTGCTTAGGTTGTCAGGCCGGGGTTCACCTTGTGTTGTGTCCGGTTGCGGCCCTCCGCCATTATCTGCGCGCCACGGCTTCTGTGTCCGGGGACGCGCTTTGGGTTGATCCGGTTTCCCTTCTTCCCTGTTCGCGGGTTCGGGTCTCTCCGGTAGTCCGTGGGTTTATTAAATCTAGCCAGCCTGCGGTCTATCCCCGTGCCCATGACGTTCGTAAGTTTGCTGCTCTAGCTGCCGTCTTTGGCAATATGTTTTGGGCTGACATTCGGGCATGGGTTTTGTTTTTGGCAGTCGAACAGGTTCCTGGCTGCATGCTACCCCGTAGCATGCAGCTACATTCCTGGGGTACCCAACTGGGTTCCTGGGGCCCAGTCGGGCCTGTGTTGCTTTGGGTTGGCAGTTGCAGCCCATTGTCTCGACTTGGAGTTGAGGAGTAGAGAATCAATTGCCTCCCGATAGGTCCCCTTCTTATAAAGTCTTTGGTGAAGTTGCTTCGGGGAGCCGTAGGGGCTTCCCCCAGAAAACCAGCGTTAAGTGTAATGAAATGCCGTTTTCTGGGTGAGTCCCAGAGGCTCCCCGGCAACCCTTCCTCTCTCCACTCGGCGGTTTTTCACGTTTTTTATATCCAGCCTCAGAACTGGGGTGAGGATCGCCAGCGCAGGGTCTGCGGCTTCCCCTTCCCCGTCTTGGGGAGGGGGGAGCTGCGCAGACATGCGGCGTGGCTCGTGTGACGTCATGCTTGTTTGTTCCTTTTTCTTTTGGGAAGTTCTGTTCACTCGTTTTACAATTTTCGTTGTTAACCAAAATAGGGGTTTGTTTTGTGGAGGCACCTTTCTGGGTGCCTGTCCCAGTCGATGGCAGATATAGAATGCTCCAAATCACATGTGCATTTCTATAGGCCATTGCTCCTCGTGCCTCTGTGAGGGGGGTCAGGTTCTGGCTCGTGGTCCCCGGTAAGCCTAGAACTCCACCCACATCGACTGATGCAAAATAGTTAGGGTATCCATATCAGCCATGGATAGCTCTGGGGAGCTTTTGGGACTCGCCTAGAAAATGGCGTTTCATTACATTCAACGCTGGGTTTTTTTTATCCGAGTCAAAACCAGAGACTTTATTCATAATAACTTGTAGAAATACTTACTATTTTGGCTGAAGTATTGAAAACAAAATTTGACCATTTTGTTTATCTGTTACAAATTACAGTATTTTATGTTTGTTTTCAGAATGACAACTCATGCTTGCATTATGCCCTCACTGCAGTACCTGCGACCAACCTCATCCTGGGCATAATCAACCAGACCTGCAGCCCAGCTGTCGCCTTTTGTCCATGTAGCATGGTACATAAGTAGTTTTCTATTTTCATAGTGATTTTACATCTGTCCCTATTTGCCAAAATAATATGAGATTATCAAATGGAGTTCTAGCCTACCAGGGACCACGAGTCAAAATCTGACCCCTTCAGAGAAGCACGAGGAGCAATGGCCTATAGAAGCCCCTCATGTGGTTGGAAGTGTTCTATGTCTGCCATCTACTGAGTTAGGTACCCAGAAAGGCAGATGTCACAAAACAAATTCCACCTGGTTAAAATTGCTACAAAAACCGAACTGTCAAGCAGAACTCCATAATCTGAAACGAGCAAACAAGCATGACGTCACAACCGCCGCTGCCCCACTATCTATGCAGCTCTAACCGCCCTAGGAGGCAGAAGGGGAAGCCCCAGACCCCTTGCGCCGGCCATCCAACCCCAGTTCAGAGACAGAATATCAAAACGCAAAAACCGCCAATCAGAGCGAGGGAGGGTTGCCAGGGAGCCTCCGGGACTTGCCCAGAAAATGGTGTTCATTACATTCAACGCTGGTTGTCTGTGGAGGGCCCCTTCGGTTCCCTGGAGCTAGCTAACTACAGAAAAAGACAAGAGGGGCTTACTTCCGGTGGGAGGCTGCTGACACTCGCACCTCAACGCGAAGTCGAGACAACTGGCTGCAATCTACGACCCAAAGCTACACACACACCAGACTAGAGCCAGGCACATTAATGAGGTAATGGATGGCTAGGACCCTGTTCAACCACCAAAATCCTCACGCGCAAATGTCAGCCCAAGACATATTACCAAAAACGGCAGCCAAAGCAGCAAATTTGCGGACGTCTGGACATGAGGATAGACCACAGGCAGGCTGGACTGAATAACCCTGCGTACGACCTGGAAGACCTGAGCGCTGGAACAGGGAAGAAGGGAAACCGAATCAACCCAAAGCACGTCCCCGGTCACAGTGGCTGTGGCGCGAAAATAACGGCGGAGAGCCGCAACCGAACATAACACATGATGCACCATCCTGGCTGAACCAACCAAGCATCAACCACCCAACGACCCCTCCAGAAAGCTGCTGTCTCGCTCTTCACCAGAAAAGGAGGAGACAGTTGCAAACGAACAAACCTATCTCCAGGATCGAAAGAGCAAAAACCTCTGCACTGGAGGAGAGCATGAAGCTTCCGAACCTGACCCCCAGAGGCCAATGCCAACAAGAAAAGAGCCTTGTCAAGACAATCCCAAATCAAAGGGGCCACCACAAATCTAGAAGAGAGAAAAGAGAGCACCCGGTCCAATGACCAAGATGGCTCAGGCGGCACATGAGCAGGCCGGAGGTGAAACAACGCACGAGACAGCATGCAAAACAGAGTGGAGGTAACATCCACCCCAAACGCAATCAGGAGCAACTCTGCCAGCGCTGCACAATATGAGGCGACAGTATTCGGCATAAGATGTGACAGTCCAGAAACAGCCAAGAGAGAAAGGACATAACAACCCAATCTGACACCAAAGACAATCTACAAAAAGATAAAAAAGTAACAAAAGGACCACCAGGAGACTTCATGCTGCCGCCAAGTTTAAACTCGCAGGTGGGACGCCATCAAAGAAGCCACCTGATCAACATACAAATGGTGATAAACCCACGTCAGAATGACCATTTGCGAAGATCAAAGAAGATCAAACCAGCCATATACCCGACTGAACCGATCTGCTGAAAAAAGTGGAGCTGCAGAAAAGTCCTCAGGTTCAGACACCGAGCAAGCAGTGCCAGAAAGCAAGGCTGGGCCAGCCACCAAGGGGCCAACAAGCCTATCCTTCCTTAGTAAGTCTCCAAACGAGGCAGAACCCGAAGCAATTGCTGAACCGGCGGAAAGAGGTACAGGTAACCCCACCTCGACCAGTCCTGCTGAAAGGCATCGACCCCCACGGCCTCGCTGTCGTGGAAGGTTGCCACATATGCCAGGAGACGCCTTGACAATACTGACGTGAAGAAGTTCACCTCCAGGTGTCTGTACGTTTTGCAGAGCCAACTGAACGAGTCGGCGTCAACTGTCCATTCCATGGATATGGGAATGAACCGGGACAGGCCATGCTCCAGGATGTTGGACACCCCCCTTGATGTAAACTGCCCGGAGAGCCAAACCCCAAGAACTCAGCAGACGAGTCACCTGTGTGTGTATTTACCTAGTTGTATTTACCTAATTGTGCTTGCGGGGGTTGAGTTCTGCTCTTTCGACCCGCCTCTCAACTGTCAATCAACTGTTTCTACTACTACTACTTTTTTTCTCCCACACCACACACAAACACACCAGGAAGCAGCCCGTGACAGCTGACTAACTCCCAGGTACCTATTTACTGCTATGTAACAGGGGCATAGGGTGAAAGAAACTCTGTCCATCATTTCTCGCCGGCGCCCGGGATCTAACCCTGGATCACAGGATCACGTGTCCAGCGTGCTGTCCGCTCGGCCACTGGTGTGTGTGAAAAAAATTGGTTAGTAATTAGTAACAGTTAATTGACAGTTGAGAGGCAAGCCAAAAGAGCAGAGCTCAACCCCTGCAAGCACAACTAGGTGAATGCCTGAAGCGACCAGCCCCAAAGAGCCAAGGACCGCATCGAACACCCTCGGTTCAGGAAGTGAACCCTCCAAAGCGACAGCCGCGAACTCCCGCACCGTGCTGTGAGCCTGATGAAAAGACGGACCCCATCGCCTCTGACCGGCCTGGTGAGCACTAGTCAGAAAACCCCAGCCAAGAGACTACGCATCCGTGTACACATCGAGCGATTGGTCAGATAAGCGCCAAGGCACTGAACCCCCCAAAAAACGATGAGGAAGCCAACAACGCAGCAGTCGATGCAAGACCCCTGGAGGATGAACCCAAAGATCACGAGAGCTGCGGGAGGGACTTCCCCTGAAGGAACCAGAACAGCAGCCGAAGCCAGACTCGACCTGGTGGGTAAACCAGCACTGTGAAGTTCAGACTCTCACACAGCTGCTCAATCATCCAACAAATGACCCGGGATCTCCCCAGAAACAGCCTAAGGTGGGACCGCAGCTGCAGCAAAAATGCCGGAGGAAGAGACAAGGAAAAGGTCCGAGAGTCCCACACATGACCCAGTCTAGTCTGAGCCCAAAAGGAAACCCAGAAGGGACTTCCTCCAGTTTTCTAAGAATCTGAAACCGGCGAGCTGGGAGAGAACTAAACCCCTGGTGAGCAGACCCCAGACCGGCTGGGAGCCCACAACAGCCAGTCATCGAAGTGGCAGAGTGGTCATCCGAAAGGAAGGGCAAAAAACCTAGAGGTTCAGACAGGACACGTCCCAAATAAACCTCATATCCGCACAGTCCCATTTTGGAATTGGAAACATGTGAGAAGCCAACCTGAGGGATGGTGTTGTTTCGACCACGTCCAGGCACACCCACTCCAAGATGACTTGACAGAGTGCAAGAGAAGAGGCCTGCCCCACGAACCCCGATCCCCACGAAGGAGGAGGAGCCACCATACACCACCGCAGGCCAGAGGAAACGCCCACAAATCGCATGACCCTGGGTGAGTAAAAAGAGCGAGCCTTTCCCCCATCACTGTCAACAGGCCGAATCACAAAATGGCTGACTCCCATTATGCGAACCCGAACAACATGCAGAGTGATCATCACGCCAACCAAATGCCGTCGGGTCCAAAGGAAGCACTGTCCTAAGTTGGCACCATTGACCCACCTGGACTGGAGGAACAGAGAAACCTGGCTCTGCACCTCTGGGAACGACCACCACGGCCCACCCCCCAGAGAGCCAACAAGTCTGACACAGGGTGACAGTTAGGAGAAGCCGCCTGCAAATACTGTATAACCGCAAAATCCGCAAACAGCAATGGACAAAAAGGTGACGAAAATCTAAGAGCCATGGCCCACACATATTCCATAGAATGAGCGAGCACAGTCTGCCAGCACGCGAGGCGGGAAGCAAAGAACAGAGACACCGCCTCCTTCAAAATCGGCACAAACAACTTCAACAAGGCAGCCGACGCCTGAGCAACTGAGGCAAGCATGCCAGACACAGGGCCCGGTCTCCAGCACCACATCCTTCTCAAGCCAGTCCAAAGACAGCTCGAGCAGGGAAAAGAAACACAAAACCGAAGTCAAGGGCTTCTGGGCTCGCAAATTCTTAGTCACCAGGGATGCTGAAAGGATGGGAACTTGCATATGGAGTGGCACCTGACCAATAACCTTAGGAAGAATGGGGGCGAACAAGCACACGTTGAAGTGCCCCAACTCACTTCCCTGGTAAATCTCAACCACAGTAGAAGTTTCCCGCCACTCATCTGTGCGGGTCTGACAAAACGAATGCCAAGCCCTAACAAAAAAGGACAGTCTGCTAATGAGGATGACTGGTAGAAATATATATATATTTATAAAAATATATATATATATATATATATATATATATATATATATATATATATATATATATATATATATATATATATATATATATATATATATATATATATATATATATATATATATATATATATATATATATATATATATATATATATATATATATATATATATATATATATATATATATATATATATATATATATATATATATATATATATATATATATATATATATATATATATATATATATATATATATATATATATATATATATATATATATATATATATATTTATTTATTTATTTTTCATCCAAGTACAGTACACATTTTACTGTTGCGTTAAACAGAAGCTACAGTTAAGGAATTGCACCCAGTAAATCCTCCCCGGCCAGGATACGAACCCATGACATAGCGCTATATATATATATATACAGTAATATATATATATATATATATATATATATATATATATATATATATATATATATATATATATATAAAGTTTGTGAGGGTACCACCTCTGGTGCCAATGTGGGGACCCATAGCCTCGGAGAAGAAAATAAAGTATTCAGAGGAGACCTTGTGGTTTCTCACTGAACACTAATATTATCTTCTCCTACCACCCCCATTCATTTGTATGTACACATATATATTTACTTTATTTGAACTTTGTTACAAAAAAGGAGTTACATATGGGTTACAAAGATGGTTATCATAGGTTGTCGAGTTCCTCCAGCTCCTCAGATGACGGGCAGGAACCCTGGATGCAGTGCGCATTTCCCCTCTGTATCGCCACACTGAGGCGCTGGAAAAGAAAGCTTGCAGCTCTTGGGTCCCTTGTTGTTTCAATGAGCCTAGAACCAAGTTCCTTCAAAAAAAAATATATATACATGTATATAATTTTTTTTTTTTTAAATATATATATATATATATATATATATATATATATATATATATATATATATATATATATATATATATATATATATATATATATATATATATATATATATATATATATTTTTTTTTATTTTTTTTTTTATTTATTTTTTTTTATTTTTTTATTTTTTTTATTTGCAGGATGATAGGCTGTGTCTCAATTGTCAGCTGGTGGAGGCTGGTGCTTGTGAGTGCCCCTGCGAGTGTCCCTTGTTGTCACGCCCGTGCACTGCTTCTGCAGCTGATTATTCTTCTGCTACCACTCAATCATCAGCTCCTTTGGAGTCTCTCAGTAACTACACAAGCGATTCTTTTAGCCAGCACTGGCAAACATTTTTTGATGCAGGTTTCATTAAAGGCCAACTCATGCCTCAAGTTCTGGAACTGGCCACACAACCTCCAGATATGGCTCCCACCTGTGGCCGAACTCCAGAAGCTGCCATGCCACTTCAGTATTCTATTGGCCTGTTAGCTCACCTTGACTCGTGCCTCTCTGTGTCATGCACTGCTCATATAACACACAAATCATGTTTAGGTGTTGTTGGCTGCATTTGGTGTTCCGTGACAAGTGATAGACAGTCACGTATGACACACCCACATTGTATGGAGGTTCATCAGTGCTATGGTGGTGTCCTTGGAGGGCCTTCACCATATCCTCATGGACTTGCAACCCTCCCTCATTCAGACAACACCCATGGCAGCTCCGGAAATCCCATTGGACCTGGTAAGGGGAAGAGTTCTTTAGTAACTTTAACATTTTTTTGTAATTTTCTTGCAGTTATAATTACAGTAATGTACTCTAATTATCTGATAATTATAACTTTAGTGTCAAAATTCAGTAACTCCTAGAATCTGACAAGCTTGAAATTGCAGTAAGTTACAGTTCTGTCATATTATAATAAATGTGGAGAACACTTATCGCATTCCAGTGGCTGGCGGGGTCATGGCGGTGTTCCTGGTTGTAGCTCTAGCTGTCTACTGTTATCGGCAACACGTGGGTGGCAGCAACCGCACGCTCTACACTCCTGCCAACTTTCAGACTCGGCCTCCCCAGCATCCTCTGTACCAGTCACAGCCCACTCATCAACTTGACAATGTTGATGAAGATCTCTTAGGTAAATTTTATGCCAGAAATGATACAGCTTATAAATTTAAAATAGGTTTAAAAATCAGTTCAAGTTAATTCACTTCAGTCACATCAAATATGAAAAAATTCTATGAACTTTTCATCTTTATGTAGATTTGCTAACTTGAGAGTACGGTGAAGCCGATATTTTAAAAGAATATTGCAGTGAAGTTTGATTTTCATGATTTCAGGAGATGTATCTGGGGTAGGACTAGGAGCTGCTGCTACAGTTAGCCCATACCGCATGAACCCTGGGTACCGTCGTCCCCCAGGTGTGGCAGATTCCAGTGATCAAGGTTACTCTACCATGACTCCTCATGATGATTCGGAAAACCTTAACTACACAGACTTAGGAGGACTTGTAGGCCTTCCAACAAGGCATATGCTAGATGATCCCCCTTCATTATCTGGTTGGTCTCCCCCTCCATCTCCTGTGCCCCGGGATAGACATGATGGTGGACTGGAAAACCACAATAATTATGAGCCCTCCCATACACTTTTGGCTTCTGCCAAGCGCAGTGGTCCAAATATTATTCAAGTGCCAGTTACCGTTCACATGGTGGATACTGTATGAGGTTAATTGTGTTGTTTATTGTGACCTAGTATCCACATACCTCCAAATGATTTCAGGGGAAAAGTTGTAGAAAATTATTGAAAAAAAGTCAGTTTTAAAAAATTTACAGCAGGCATACATTGTCTATTGAGGGAGTAAGCTCTGGGCTCAGTAGACTCTTGAACAGTATTATATTAGAGGTTATACTTGAAATATGTCCCTGATTGTTCTTATTGGATGACTGCCGAGCAGCTAGTAGGCTCTATACAAATGCATGGGTCATTTATCTAGATTCCACAACAGTTCCATTAGTGCTTTAAAGAGCATGTGTATAAGGTGCACAAAGTGTATTACCTCGTGGAATTTAATATTTTTAAAAGCAACTATTCTTAATGATAAGACTTGTACAGCTGTAAGACATAAAGTTTTTTAAGTAATAAAACTTTAACTTTAGATATTTTAAGTATGATATATCTAGTCCATAACTGCAGCTAATGTTTGGTATGAAAACTTGCCAAGGTTTTGGTACTAAAATGAAGCCACTTAGCATGCATTGAGGACTTCTCTATGAACCAAAGATAGTAATTGACTGGGCATTATTATTAATATTTTTTAGCTTTGTATATGAGGATTGAGCTCAAGAATCCCAGGCTTCAGTTACCAATAGATAAAAAGATAACTAGTATTTTTTATACTGTGCCTCAGTCTTGTAGGAGAAATGCCCAGTTCAGGGGTTACTATATTCCAGGGCTTTTAAATTAGGTTACAAAGTGCGTGCACTGATGCCACTCGACATTGGCATCAGTTGCCTGTGATGAGTCGGGAAAAGTTTTTGTTGTCAAAATGGTTGTAATAAGAATTGGATACTCAGTGTATAATGTATTAATATCATTTGAGTGTTTTTCAACTTGTAAACAGATGCTACATATATTTTTCTGGTTCATTAGTGAACAAGGCACTCAGACATGTCAGTGTGATGATTCTTTCCCTTCTCTCCCAAATTATCCATAACTATCTTGCAAAAATGTCACATCATTGGCAATCTATGCAAATTGGCTGACAACTTATGAAGCATTTCCACTAAGACTTGTTCTATGACTTTTGTTCGAAAGCATGTCATCCTTCGTCCTTCTTTGTCGCTTTATGGTCATCCCTTTGTGTACAAAGATTATGTGAAGCTTTTGGGGTTAATCTTTGACACTCGTTTGTTTTGGTCGTCCCATATCTCTTACCTTCGTGTTGAATACTCTAAGGTCCTTAACCTTCTTAAGGTTCTGTCACATACTTCTTGGGGAGCAGATAGGTGCACGCTCCTCTCTTTGCATTCTTCTCTCATACTGTCTAAACTCGATTATAGTTGCCCTGTTTACTCCTCTGCTTCTCCTTCTACTCTTTGCTGTCTAGATCCTTTGCACCATACTGGGTTGCACCTCAGCTCTGATGCCTTTCGTTCGACTCCTACCCTCAGCTTGTACGTTGACACTGGCTTCCTGTCTCTCCAGGACCGCCGAGATTGCTACTGTCTTCGCTACCTTGCGCGGTCCTTACAACACCCTCACTCTCACCTGTGTCATGCTTTGACTTTTCCCCTTCCTGTAGTTCCTGTTCCCCTTCACCGCCTTCCTCTTTCTGTCCGGTTCTCTCACCTGCAACGTTCTCTTTCGGTTAGTATTACTAATATTTCTTCTCGTGTTGTTGCCCCCGTAGAGGGTCTCCCTTCCAAAATTGGGTCAGGCAAATCCCTGACCCACATCACTAAAGCTTTTACCCCTCCTACAGTTCTAAAATGCCTTTTCCTTGAACACTGGAAAAAATTCTTTTTGTTTTTGAAAGTGTCAAAAACCTTTCCCTGAGTATGGATATGGTAACAAAAAGTCAAAATTGTACTTACTTTGGCTGCTATGGGGTCCGTAAGTTCGCGCGTGACGTCATCATTCCCTGGTCGCCCGTGGCATACACTCCCGGGGCCAGTAGGGTGCCCGGCTCAAGATATGTGAGTTGCCACGAGTATATTTTTGTTCATTTTTTGTGCACAGTTCCAAATACATTTTATTTGTTTTTACGTGCTAATCCTATGTATAATGAACACGTACACTATTTTATGGCAGTAGAACATCCGCACTGTCCGAAGACACTGTGTTACGTGCATGACACTTGTGTACACGTATCCTGCACATATTTCCAATGTATCATGCAAATTTATGTATATATACAATCTATTTACACACTGTACAGTATCACACACTATATATACATACACCATAAACACACTCAGAACTCCGTGAGTGTGAGCTGCCACACCCAGCCAGTCCTCCCTCACTCCTCCAACATCATACTTGCCATCACCCCTCCTCCCACCATACTGTTATTCACTCCAATGTTTCATGTTCATTTATTTATATTTACAACATATTTACACACTATACACTGTCACACACTATATACATTCACCATCAACACACTCAGAACTCTGCGAGTGTGAACTGCCACACCCAGCCAGTCCTCCCCCACTCCTACAGCATCTTACTCGCCAACATTGCTCCTCCCACTATACTGTTATTGTTTTTATTACACTATTTACACATGTATACCTATCTACATGTTTTATTCACCAGAACTATGCAAGTAAGTCGGTATTGTGTCCAAACAGTACAGTGGCCACCATACACTGTATGAGAAATCACACAGCAGACGACGTTATGATTACAACGTCACCTTCCTCACCAAAATATCTGCTCTCAACATACTCCTGTTGTTGTTATTACATTATATACACACATTGTATAAACCCATGTACATATGTTTTGACCATAGGGAACCACTAAGCTAGTATGGTGAGCAAAACAAGAGTGGCTGCCACACACAGTGAGGCTACCTCGATTCCCCTCCCTCCTCACCAAAATTTCTCCTCCCACAATACTACGCACAGCACTAATTATCACCACAATCTTGGTCACTAATTCCTGTAAAGGAATAAATGACCATAAGTTTATTTTATAAAGGAACCTAAGAAGTCGTTTGAAGATTCCTATATGGACGAAATAATGCTGTGGTGCTGTGGCTAGCACTGTGAACATCGTGAACAGCATTGAATCACTAATATTTGAACATTGTACACAGTCATTATCACACTCGGGCTCTTCTGTAATACTATCATAGCTAAATAATACAAGTTATATATATATTTTGACATTATTAGGCGATGCTGTGGTCACAAGCTGAACAGCAGTGCTGTGAGCTCATGCTGCATGCGCCAGCCTTGGCTGCTCACTCATTACTGAGGGTCTCGCACCCGGGAATGTGGCCCATGATTTTATTTAAAGACGGCGTCTGTTTACAAGAGCCTCGAAGAAGCTGATGTGAACCCTTGTAGCCGCGGGAGTTTTGAATCGCTAAAAATATAAATACCCGTTGGCGCGTTGCGCACCCCCCATCGAGTGTCTGCAGGTGCGTTGTGCAGTTGAGGAATTAAATGAGCGTGCAGACGCTGCTACTAAGGAAGCAATCCGCACTTGTCCCATCTCCCGTAAAGGTACTCCTTATTCTGACTTTTACCCAGTTATTCATTCCTCCATCCTTGCCCATTGGCAGAGTTGTTGGTCTTCTGTTACTGGTAAGAAACTGAGTACTCTTAAGGGTAGTGTGTCCCTGTGGCCTTCCTCCTACCACCGTAACCGGCGATGGGAAACAGCTCTGGCAAGGCTGCGTATTGGCCATACACACTTAACTCACGGACACTTAATGGAGCGCTGCCCTGCTCCTTATTGGCCTAACTGCATTGTCCCTCTTACAGTTGTGCATATCCTTATTGAATGTCCTGACTTTCAGGACGTGCATGTGTTTTGCTTTCCGACCGTCCCCGGCGGTCACTTTTCCCTCGATAGAATTCTTGGTGAATCAGATACTTTTGATATTGTTTGCCTTGTGCGTTTCTGTTCTCTTATTGACATCCTCAGTGATATTTAGCACCCTCTGATTATTCTGCACATTTGATGGTACTACATAGCCTTCCCGGCTTGGTGCCTTCTTTGATAATTAATTGCTTACTTATGAAGCATTTTTCTTCTTACATTCTTACATACGATAGCATTTATCTTGGTATTTTAGATCAACATGCTCATAATACTAAGAGGTATTCACACACTACCATTTATAGGAAGATTGATATGTTTTCTAGTATTTGATAAGGGAGTACTAGTCATTTTCTTGATCATTTTTGCCATTTCAACTTCCTCAGAAAGGCCATCTGATTTGTGACTGAAAATAGTATTTTAAAACTGTTGCCTCAAATACGCACAAAATATTTACTGTTATCAGAAAAATATGATAAATTTTGTCCTAAACATGTACATGAAAATGGTATTGTATTTTGCATCTTTCAATAGCTTATATATGTATTCATCATTATGGAGGGGGTTAAAAGCAAACACTAATGGTTTGCTAAAACCATCTCTTCATTGTTTGCCAAATAATGTAGTTTGTTGTTAGCCTTGATTTAACTTGGAAGTCTGTAGACATGACCCTTAAACAATTTCTGCTCGAGAACAATTTGTGCTACACAGTCACCTGGAAGTATGTAGGTCTATGTGATGTCCCTCTTGCTTTCTGTACTCTAAATGTATTAAGTGCTCTCTGTTACTGTTAATTACAAGTATTCCAAGCATGTTAGAGGAGCAGTGTAGCTCATGCCTGACCTGCTTTTGGTATTAAGAACATTACATAGTGACTTTAGAATTTTAGCATTGTACAGTAAATTAAATGAAAATGTTTTATTATGCTGCATATCAAATTGGTTTCTGAAGCCTCACTGTAAAGAAAAACCTTTGACAATAAAAAAATCTAAATTAGAATACTTGTTAGGAAAATTATAGATTACAAATCTAAGTGAATTCCATGAAGTCTTTGGACTTACAGAATGATTGACTTCATGCATTAATCATTGAATAGAGTTGATATACAGCTAGAGATAAGTGACCATATTTTTCTGGCATGTAATGTGCACCTCTGCATCAAACTCACACCCCTCCCCCATCCCCTCAACCCCCACCATCCAGGTGCTTTAAAGGCAAGGTAACATTCTGGTAAATTTTGTTTTGAAAAACTTGCGTCCTGTCCACTGGACAGTACAATATATTTTGGCAACAAACATTGTGTAGTTAAGGTACAGTAAATAATAACAAAATACCAGACTTGAGAAAATACTAATGTGTGATGGTTTACTTTGGTTTGATATACATTGAAATTGAAATTGAAATAAGTTTATTGAGGTGAAATACACACAAAGGGATGAGGTAGCTCAAGCTATTCTCACCCCGTTTTGATATACATCGTGTGTTGGAGTACCATATCATCTTACACAATTCTAACTCTGTCTCCTATTGATAACTTTTCCAAGATAAACTGAGTATGAGTGGGTTTGTTATTGCTGCAGTAACACGACTTAAAAGCAGCTTAATTAAAGGGTGAGTTATTCATGTTTGAGGATTGGTTCCACCTACAGAATTAATTTTTTAAGGGGGATATTTTGCCATTTTGAGTTCAGTTACATGGAACCAGACTTGGGTAAAAAACGTTTACCAATAATTCCTATGTTTAGGACAGATAATGCAATTTATGTAAAGTATCTATAAATTTTGTGAGAGATGTTTG